GCATATAATTATGTTACTAATTTGGGCCGTAGAATTTAAAAACTATATTATCCTGAAGATTAGGTTTCATTTTAATAATGAATTGATGGTTTTAATCGTATTAAAACCATAATTTGATAACTTAATCCTATTTACAACGATTAAGTTGGCATGACTAAATAATGCATATATTTAATGCTAGTTTATCCTTAAAGGAAACCTTCTAGTACAAATCAAAGAAGAATTAAACTTAAAGATAGAAAGCTTAGAGCTTGCAACTATCTGGAATTTTTCATAATTCGTAACTAATGAACAACTTATTTATTTTTTTCAATTTCAGCTATTATGAAATGGTGAAGTTATTAAACAAACACGCTCTGATAGACAGTAATTATTCTTCTACTAGCTTATTTGAACATTCAATCGAAATAAACTGATAAATAAGAATAAATGCTATAAAACATGACTCCTCAAAAACGAGCATGAGAAGAAAAATAAGTTATGATATAAGGACAAATTGCGTATTAATGACAAATATATATTGCTATGATAAGTTTAGGATTTATGATCCTTCTCTAAATAACGGCATCTAAATTTTTTGAGAGTTTCTACATAATAATTATTCCAATATTAGCAACCGATCAATTATGGAAAAAAAAACTTCGAAATAGGGGATGTATCATATAAATCACTTTAAGTACAACAAAAATTCTGCTGAAATTATAGAAAATTAGGAATTTAAAATTTTAATATGATATTAATATTTCTCATTCACCAAGATTTTTAAAGACAACTAAGCGTTATAGAGATTTTAATTCAGTAAGATCCTAAAGATTGAGCTGTTCTGTTAATATCAAGCTGGTGATAGTAGTACTGCCATAATTATTTGATAGCGAGTTATTAATTTACAAGTTAAGCTTCAAAATATCCAGATCGCTTTCTTATTTGAGTGCTATTTACAAATTTGCAAAGAAATGTTTTAACCTTTGTGAAGTGAAAACTTTCTATTAGATTCAAAGTTTAATATGGATAAAAAGATAGCAACAATCTCTATGATAAATATGACATTATTAATATGCAAGCAAACTTTAATAAAGAAACTTTTCGAAAATATTTTTAAAGCTTATATATTTTTTATTCAAACGTTACCTTCAAAATACGAACCTTAATGTATCGTTAAAATGACTTTAGTCTTTAGATTTTTTACAATTATAAATCTTCTTCATAATATGATATTACAAATTAGAATATACTATTTAGTTTAGAAAAAGATCACCGCATACTACATTAATAAATCTTAAAGATTAAAATCAAAAAGGTATTTACCTCAAGCTGCAAATTATAATAAAAGTTTGAACATGGTTATCTCTTCGTAAATCCTTTAATTAAATTTGTTTCCTCATGAGTATATTAGTTTTATTTATCAATATCCTGAATCAAAGAATTAAAATGAGTAATGTTTTTATCGTGAATCATGATCAGCCAAAATAGATGTTTCAATGTTGTTTAGATAAAGTAAAGCTCTTTAACTACTAGTAAGCATATTTAATCACGAAAATAATTTTCTGTTTTTACAACTACGAAAATATTATTTTTATTTTTATTAAGACAATATTACATATAGGTAACCTTATCTATACATTTTTAAATCTATATATAAAACTTTCATGCATTTTATTTTACTTCTTTTAATAATCCATATTATGCACTCCCAAAGATTTTTATTTTGTGGATCTACACTAAATGCCAGCTATTCTATTAATTACTTCATAAAATACTTTGAAATACTGTTAAAGTAAATTAAATTGTATTGTATTATGTCTCTACAGGTTTCAAACAGCTTAAAAAAGCCAGTGACTTCAAGGCTGAGAAAAAGCAAGAAATACTGCAGCGAAATGCGTTTAAGGCAGCAACAAATGCGACTCATCACCTGCAGCCGCTCAATAGCTTAGACGGCACCATCAATAAGTCACTTGGTTCTGGTACTTTAATCCGTACTCCACATACCTCAACTTCGCTGCTACATTTACAATCAACTACAGGACCAGTAGGTATTTCTTCAAACTTAAAAGAAGATCTGAAAAGTCTTTTAATGACAAAACGATCTTCTCACGAAACACCGTCTCTGGAAGATACCGTGTCCTCCTTACCGATACATAGTCAGCTAATAAGCCACCGGTGTAAACGCGGTAGTAACGCACCTTCAAACGAAAGTGTTCTGCTGGCTTTAGGTCTTTTTCCCGCTACTTCTGCCATCACAGTCGGCCTCCGAGGAGAATTACAATCGATTCGACAGTCAACTGGAGAGCAAGAAAGTTTTGTGCTCGAAGAGGCTGCTACAAAACGGCTAGAAAAAAATAGAGAAAAAATAGAAGAAACAACGATCATTCTCGATAAGGACGAGACAAGACTAAAAGATATCAAAGACTATGACAAGGAATTGGTTTATAAAGATAGTGAAAGTGTAGAATCAACTAGTTATTCTAGGCCAATAAAGAACTTCCCATTAACCTCAAAGGCAGGTTCACTCTCTGGGGAAATGCCAATGATTCGAAATCTCCGAATGGACAAGATTATTTCCAGTCTTCGGACCCCTGGCTGCGGCCAAAATTCTGGACATTCTGATAACTCACAGCTGGCAGATGTTA